TTTCTCCTCAAATTATTTTCCTCAAATTATTTGGGCCAGTTTAAGCACTGCATTGTCTGTGATAATAAGATTCCACTTTCCGAGAGATACACTAAGTTCCTTTTCTGCTTGGGAGAACATCAAACTTCCTCCTGTACCCATTGCAAAAATTTTAAGCTCAGAGTTCTTCGATCTCGCCTCTCGAGGCTAAAACTCCGACTTTAGGAACAATTCTTACAACCAGCTCAAATGGCCCAACCTCCCTGTAGGGCCACTTCCCAAAGCAATGGAGAAAGCCGTTACTGAATCATCGAAACAACGCCCATTGGCTACACCAACTAATTCCGATTCTCCATCTGCCTTGTCTAAGACCTCGAAGACACACAAATCGAAACCTTCCATACTGAAGTCCTTGACTTCGAAAACAACCTCTAAACGTCAGAGACTGATTGAAGCTGCTCCAGCTCTGGAGCCTGTTCCTCCTAATCAAGCTAAACAGTCTAAGCCTACAGACATCCCACCATAACCACAACTCTCTGAATCAATTTTGGTTGGATCTTCCTCACATTATGACAGACTTCTGTCTCATCATCCCTGTTCTCAGTCTCCAGAATGGGATGATAGAGTCGACTAACTAATGTCCTCTCCTCCCAGTCCACAACCTTCCATTCCTTCCAGCAATCCTTCGGTTATTCTATAGCCCGAGGATTCCCATCCTAAATGGCTTGACACCATTCCATATTTGATGCCCTCGGATCGCCCACCAATTCCTAACCAGGACCGTTGACATCAACAATCTTGACAGCTTGCTTCATCGCATGTGGTTCAAATCCACGCTCAGCACTTGCATCGCATTGCCATTTGCCCCAGCCAGTGCTCTGCTTGACAAACTGCGCTAACTAGTTGACCAGATGTTTTACCCAGTTCGATAATGCCATCTAATAGTTGCCATACCTCTCGACAACCATCAGTATTGAAGCAGCCACATCACCAAGAGGTGACTATACGTCAACTTGCTTCCCATTTGGTATTTAAAAAAAAAAAACGGTTGAGCAGATTTCATCTACACGTGAGGCTTTTGAAGCCCCAGCCTCCCGATACTTTCCTACTACAATAGATGACGGAAATCACTCTTCACGCTTGGTATCGACAGCCTCAATTTATTCTACTGCTATGCCATCACATCAGCAACCTCCATTCCAACATCACAGAGACACAGGCTCTGATATCGACGATCCTCGATATTCATGGATACTCGCTCCATCCTGTTACATCAACACAGTTCACGTCCGCCGGTAAATCCAAGTCATTGACCCTGGCACCATTACGACACCAAGCTCAGCACTGAGGTCCAGCCCTACCAATCGAGGTCCGTCAACGCTCAACCACCATCTTTCTATGTCGACGATCCTCGAGATTGACAGATGCCCATGGACATGCCGCCTCCATCTTTTCCAACTCATAACCGGCAATACTATGAGACCCAGCCTCTTGACACCAAAGTCGATCGACAGTCTGTCGACTCCAGACACGACTTTGATGGCTCTGACCGTGGATCTCGGCTGCAGACTCCATCGCTGTTACTTACCTCTCCAGAGTCGGACACTGTTGATACCAACCCACTGTCACCGGCAGAGGATTTCCAGACCTAAACCCAGCTTATTATTCACATGGCTAATTATGATTCCCTTGATCTGCAAGTACACCGACCATCGCCAGAACCAGCCGATCATCTACATGATCCAATCTCTAAAAAATACAATCACTCCAGTGCACATATTGATGTTACCATCTCTCCTTAGTACTGCACAGAGATCCTGGACAAAACCAGTTTCCTCCCATACCATGTCTAAGCGGATTGATAACCTCTATAGAATCCATGACCCAGGACCCATTTTCCTCCAAAAACAAGCAGCTCCAAATTCTATATTTGTCGAAGCCTCTCAATTGAGATCTCGACACCGACAATCTCTCATACCATCAAATAAAGACACCCGATGAATAGATTCCATGGGTAGATGGCTTTACTCTACTGGAGCCTTCACCATGCAAGTCACTAATTATCAAGGAGCCATGGGAGCTTACCAACACTTCCTCTGGGACAACATGTCCACCTTTATTGAATCCCTGCCAGAGGATAAAAAGATACTAGCTCAAATCTTCCAACAAGAAGGTATCTTCATTGCTAAACAACAAATGCTTTCCGCCCGCCACACCGTAGATACTACAGCCAAGTCCATGGCCATTTCAGTAGCCCTTCACCGTTTTTCCTGGATCAGAACGGCCAGCTTAGCCAAAGATGCTTGGGCACATATCGATGACCTCCCCTTCGATGGAGCAGGTACTTTTCATGCTGAAAGTGACAATATACCAGAGAACGTACAAAAGAAACATTCAGCAGCTAGGCGTTAAGAAGTTTACCCTTCCTACCAGCAATGTCCTCAGCAAAATCAATGGAAACGAACCTATAACTCGTAACAGAGGTTCCAACGAGACCCTCCACGACAAACCTCTTACAATCCATACAGTGGTGTCCCGCTGGACAATGATAATCCATTCCAGGAAAATCACTGTTAAGCGAAATCGTTGTCAAGCAAAAAAAAAAAAAAAAAACCATTGGAATGCGCTGAATGTGTTCCAGTGGGGGAAATAACTCATCGTCCAGCGAAGATCCTCCATAGGGGAAGCCATTTTTGATCGCTGTCTTGTGAAAATAGGTCTGGAAAACAGCAAGGAGCCATTTTGCGAACTGCCGATCAGCTGTTTTTAATCGTCATCTTGTGAACAATTGGTTCGCGAAGTAGGGACCTAGTTATCGTAAAGCTAAAAAAACCATAGGAATCATCGTTTTGTGATTGCTATAGCGATTGCAAAAAACTCGTCATCAAGTGGGGTTGTCATCAAGCGGGGCACCACTGTACTTCAAAAACGAAAGAGCCAAAACCCGGCAACAGTCTGCCACTAGGCGGAATGACTGGAAACCCAAACACCATGTTTGACATTCCTCTGACTGGGATCACCACTCACCCCACCAACCCTGCTCTCTGGAAACACTTGCCTGCATGGGAATCCATCACCACAGATCCCTGGGTACTCTCCATCATCAAAAACAGCTACCGCATCCACTTTGAACTTCCTCCGACAACACACATCATTACTCCACCGTCACAACCCCTACAAGAAGAAATAACAAATTTACTTATCAAAGATGCCAAAGAATCCATCTATCAAAACGACACTGGGTTTTTCTCTCACTATTTCTCCATCCCCAAGAAAGACGGGGGTCTTCACCCTATTCTAGATTTAAGATTATTAAACAACTACATCGTCAGGGACACGACTTAATGACTAAACAACAATTGTCTCCTAGAAAGAGAGTCTCTAAAGAAAAACTAGCCTGAAGAGAAAGGTCTTTGCCTGACTGCAGAAGGATGAGAAAGATCGGGCTAGTCTGGCCTCCTCTGGAAAGGAGTTCCAGAGTCCGGTAGCACTCACAGTACAAAATTTATTTCATCTCAAAAATATCATGCTGTGCACCTATGTCATGGTTCTTTCAAATAATGTATACTCGATGTAAAAATTTTGAAAACAGTAATATATTTTACAGTTACAAATGTTTGAGGGTGGTTTGGTCTTGAATGAGCAAACTGAATCTGTAATCAAAAATTTGCTTGTTCGTTTTTGACTACTGCCTGCCTGCATTTTGGACTCTCCTTTAAAGGGAGGACCTGCTGCAGAGCCCATCATAACCCTCTGCACACTTCCAAGTTTAGCACTGCATCACTGATGATAATACAGTTACAAGATCCTCTGTTCAACCTCTGTTGAATACAATAGTACTGTTTCCCTGAAAATAAGACCTAACTTGAAAAGAAGCCCTATTATGATTTTTCAGGATGCTCGTAATATAAGCTCTACCCCCCCAAAATAAGCCCGTTAAGTGAAACCCTGCCCTCCATCCTTGTGCAGCAACCAGATGACACGTTAAGTGAAACCCTGCCCTCCATCGTTGTACAGCAACCAGATGACACAACTGAATAAATTGCTGTACATGAAAAAAATTAAAAAATCTGAAAATAAGCCCTAATGCTTTTTTTGGTGCAAACGTCACCCCATGTTGGTGCAAACAAGATCCTGTCTTATTTTCGGGGAAACACGGTAGTTGTTTGGGGATTTTTTATGTTTGTGCATGTGGGTCTGGTCTCTGGGTGTCTGTGTAAATTTCGTTGTATGGGTATACTATGTATATACTCACAATGACCATAAATTGTATTGATTTTTGATTTATCACATGCTGTCTAGTAATTTCTAGTAACTTCTAGCGACCCTATGAAAGAACAATCTTCAATACGTCCTGCCCTCAACACTCTTGCTCAGTTCTTGTAAAGTCAAGGCTGTGGCTTCCTGGGGGGGGAGGCAGACCATCTCATATTTGGTCTTTCTCTTTTCCTGCTGCCTTCAGCTTTTCGCATCTTCAATGTGTTTTCCACAGAAACTTGCTTTCTCATAATATGCCCTAAGTACAGTAGGACAACTTCCGTTCCAATGTTTTTGCCTCCAAAGATAGTTCAGGCATGATTTGCCCCTGGACCCACTTGTTTTGTCTTTCTGGCAGTCCAGAGTAATGTACCGTATCTGCAAAGCTCTCCTCTAGCGCCGTCTTTCAAACAAATCGTTTTTTCCCCCCTGTCAGCTATCTTCACTGTCAAGCATTCACATTCTACATAGTAATCGGGAAACGTGAATGATCTTGGCCTTGGTCTCCGTTGGTAACCCCCTACACTTAATAATCTTTTCTAATTCCTTCCTTGCTTCCCTTCCCAACCTCTATCTTGTTCTAATCCCTCATAGTCAACAGCAGTAGTTCTCTCTTATTAACAGCGGCTCCTCGAAGCCATTCAGTGCAGGACCTGCCCACGTCTCTCGAAAGGAAAGAGGCAAAGCAACCCGTCTCCCCGCGCCCGCGAAGGCGTTTGAAGGGCGAGCCGCAGCGCGTTGCCTTCTGGGCCTTGTAGTCTTCGAGCGGGTCGGAGGGGAAGTTCTGCGCAGTCACGGCCACCTTTGCTGCCGCTCCTCTCCTCCGCGAAGCAGCGCCGCCATTTTCTCTGGCGGACCATCGTGCGTGTTCGTGCGGCCGCGCACCCGGGGGAGCGAGTGGAGTTCAGCGATAGCCCTGTCGGTGAGTGTTTGTCTCTTGGCGGGGCGGGAGGCCGGGCGGAGTCAAGGGGGAGCCGAAGCCTCGAGAGGAGGAGGAGGAGGAGGGAACGGGCGTTATTTCTCCGTTGCGGCCGTCGGACCGCAGCCTTCGCGAGGCCCTGCGTGGTGCCTCCTTCCCTTCATTTGCTGCCGGGTGAGGAGGTCGCCATCACCTCCGCGGCGCTTCTTTTTCCCCCTCAGTCGTTTGCCGTTAACCGCCTCGTTCTCCCTCCCCCCAACCACCTCTCCCGCTTCTCTCCAGGTCCCACAGGGCAGGCCTCGGAGGCGCCGCCGCCGAACAGTTTAAAAGTCCCCTTCGTTCCCCTTCGTTTACAAGGTAAATAACCGGGAAGGCAGCGGAGCGAAAAGAATTATGTGTTCCTCCAGTTTTGCGTGCCGCCTTTTTTTGCCAGTGCTGTTGTAGACGTCTCTCTTCCTGGAGGAAAGAGAAATCACATCTATCTGCCTCCGTAGGAGATGCCTTTTATTTTGGCCTTCTGTTTCCTGCAAGCTTGGGAGGTATTTCGCGTGTGTGCGTTTGGCTCGTCACGACCACTAGGGCTGTACTTCTCTTGTACGGAGGGCATTATCATTCTCTGAGCCCCCCCCCCTTTTTTGGAGGAGTTTGCCAATCTTTGAATTACACAACGCTTCCATATTTCTCACTCCTACACCAGCGGAGAGGGTATAAGGAATGGCATCAGGCTTAATTAGTTATTTCAGTAGGGTTGGTATTTGGCTATTTCTCCTGATGGTACATTGTATGCAGTCTTGTAAATGTAGATTCTTTATTTGCAACCCAATCAATGTGAATTTTCACAACCACGTTAAAAAATAACCCTGATGAGAGGGAGTATTGTAGAAAATTCATGTTTCATTACTTTTCTTGCCTAGCCTGCCTTAAGATCATTTGGTTTTTGGTATAAGTGATAAAACTAATAATGAGCACTACCAGTCTTCATTTTTTGCAGGTTGGACCAAGATGAGTGGCTGTCGTGTTTTCGTTGGACGCCTGAGTCCACACGCTCGAGAGCGAGATGTGGAGAAATTTTTCAAGGGATATGGCCGTATACGTGAGATAAATCTGAAAAATGGCTTTGGATTTGTGGTAGGTATATCTGATTTTAAAGATGTTTCCTTTTACCCAAGCAGTAGGATGGTACACATTTATTTTTATGTTAAATAATTGGAAATTTGATTAGATAAAAGCACAAGGAATGTTACACTTGCACTTTTTTCTGGATTTTTCAGTAAACAGTGCATGACACTTGCTAATTCGCTATTAGGAAAAGGAATTCCGAAGAAAAGCTTGCAGGTATTTCTTGTAGTGAAATACATTTGAAGGATAAATTAGGCTCTTCCCAGTGTTTCTCTTTACTCCTAAAAGCAAGGGAACAATTTCTGTAGACTTTCTCCTCTTTGTAAAAATACAAAGCAAGACAGTATACTCTTTAATCATCTTTAATGTAGATTAAGTTATCCTAAATATGCACACATGAAAAATGAGAAATGCCCTATTGTCTTTCTTCTGAAGTGATCCTCCAGTGGGCCATAGTTATTTATTTATTTATTTGATTTTTACCCCGCCCCTCTAGACAGTGTCTACTCGGCTTACATAGGTTAAAACACATCAAAATAACATATATAAAAGTACAATTCTTACAATAAATTCTAAACAACACATTTCCAAGATGGCAAGACTCAAGAAGGGGGGGGGGAATCACTTAATTGGCTGGAGGGAAGGCCTGTTTAAATAACCAAATTTTTAACTGGCTTTTGAAAACGCTCAGCGAGAGTACCAGCCGAATTTCAGTAGGGAGAGTGTTCCACAGCCGAGAGGCCACCACCGAGAAGGCCTGGTTTCTTGTTTTTTCCTTCCGGGCCTCCCTCAGCGTCAGGTCCTTCAGCCATCCCTGCTGGCTATGTCGGGTGATTCGGATAGATCTGCAAGAAAAGAAGTCAAAAAGGAACACAATTTTCATTATAATCTGTAAGAAATGCTTTGGTTTGATACAAGCAAACATCTGTAAGTAAGCATATATTGCCAAAGTGGAATTCACCATAGAAACAGGAACATTCACTGCTTCTCTCGTACTTCTCTCTGCATTATGGGCGCATCAGCCTCAAAGGCAGCCCCACGTAGAGTGCATTACAATGGTCTAATCTCGAGATTACAAGCGCATGGACTAGAGTAGTGAGGGCCCCCCATCAAGATATGGTCTCAGCTGGGCAATCCACCGTAGATGAAAATAGGGGGAGTGGACCACGGACGCCACCTGGGTTTCCATGGTAAGCGCCGGGTCCAGATGCATCCCCAAGCTGCGGACCTCACTCTTTGCAGCAAGGGTTGTCCCCCCAAAAGAAAAGGAATCACCTCTACCGCTAGGTGGTAGGGCCACCCACCTACAAGACCTCTGTCTTGTCCGGGTGCAGTTATATTTTTTTGCACATTTCAATGCCATAAGGTAACTGTGGAAGTAATGCACTGGAGGCAAAGAAGCCAGCCAACTCTGCCTGGCTGATAAACAAGGTAGAGCTGTGGAACACATGTCCTATTCTTTTGAAATAGAAGAGGAGGGGAGGGGGAAAGGGAAAACTAGATTCTCTGCATTTGCTCATACAAGGAAATTCAGTGGAGCTTTTTAGTCTTGCTCTTCTATCCCACTACTAGAGAAAGAAGCTAGGGAATATGGCCAATTCTGTTTGACCAATTTGGCAAAGAAGGGGGGATCGGCTTATGGGCTAGAAGACTTCCTGCCTCCCCCCCCGTTCATATAGAAACTTATATTGTTCCATGTATATGACCCCCCCAATGTATATGACGACCCCCTAATTTTGTCCCTTGCCAGAGGCGCAGTCAGTGTGCAGCTGCGAGGACAGCTCCATCTCCTTCTGCCTCCACCACCTGATTGCCGCCTTGTCCCCTGCCTGAAGAGCCCGTGAACGCTGGAGGAGGCAGTCTGGCAGCAGAGGCAGCAGGAGGAGGAGATGGAGGCATAGGAGCAGCCATACTTGGCCGGCTCTCGCTGCTGCCCATCGACTGCTGCCACTGCTGCCAGATCACCTCCTCCAGCGCCCCTTGCAGGCTCCCGTCAGGCAGGGCACAAGGTGGTGACGTGAGATGGGGTGAGCCCTGGCAGGAGGAGGAGGCAATTGGAGGACGGCAGTAGTCAATGGGCAGCCACAAGAAGCTGCTGAGCGCAGCTGCTCCTTTGCCTCTGCCTCCTTCCATGTACAAAACGACCCTCAATTTTTCTTCTAATGGTTTTAGGGCAGGGGTGGGCAAAATGCAGCTCTCCAGATGTTGCTGAACTGCAACTCCCATAATTCCTAGCCCACACAGCCAATAGTGAGGAGATTTGGGCCTAGCCCACATAGCCAATAGTGTGAGGAGAGTTGGGCCTAGCCCACACAGTGAGGAATGTTGGGATTTGCAGTTCAGGAACATATGGAAGCCCGGGAGGCTGAGCCCAGCCAGGATGGTCCGGTGGCTCGCCTCCCAGCGGCGGTAGCAGCGGCGGTGGAAGTCCAGGAGGCTGAGCCTCCCTTTTCCTAACCATTGGGGCGAAAGAGCTACAAAGAAGCAGCCTCTTCGCCAGTAATGGTTAGCAAATGTAAATTTCCTGCCCTTTTTGCCTGCCTTTTTTCATTCGTACGCTGAAGCTCCATTTGCAAGTAGAGGCAAAATTTTGCAGATGGAGCTGATCGTAAGTTGAAATGTTCGTAGGTAGGGACGTTCGTAAGTAGAGGTTCCACTGTAATTGTACTGCATATGATGCATGGTCCTGTTCTTTCTCTTAGTGTATATTTCCTCCTACCTGGCAGATTTTCTGTATGCTCTATTTAAACATGAGATGGTGATTTTTTAGCCTTTAGGTTTTTTCACGAGGTCTTGTTTTCTGTTTATATGGTGGTATATTATTGAGCTCCACCTTCCACATGCAATGCAATTGTAAGCAACAACTACCTTTTGAAGTTTTCAGGATCCACTTTCCTATACAATGGAGTCTCGACTTATG